TGGTTACTGGATATGTTTTGCATTTTTTTTTTTTTTGAAGGGTTAGGTAGTAGGTGGTTTAGTTGATTTAATGCAATTATTCAAATTTTTATTGCATACTCATATCCCTACATTTATAAACAACAAATAGAAGAAGCAGAAATGACAGTGCAAAAATTATCCATTATATCTTAACATACACATGTAAGTTGCATCATATCTCATTGGTTTTATTTTATAAATGTTGCACGTTATCCTTTTACAACTTCTTTGCCATGCATTTTCATTTTTCGATGCCTGCTTTATTATTTAATAAATCAAGTACTTCTTACTCCTATGAACCTGCAATCTTTATGTATGTCAAATGTTTCTATTATCATGTACTGCCATGTTCTATATACACGTGATGTTTTCAATTTTATTTTTGGTGAGTTTCTCTGTGCAGTAATATCAACTTTTAAAATAATAGCGAGATAATAATATGCTCCAAAAACTCTTGAATAATCCAATAAATCTTAAACTCTTTTTTTTTTTTTTTTAAACATCTACAATTTCTACACTAATAAAAACACAACAAATGCAAAATTCGTGCAAGGCACGTGTCAACGACTAGTTTATAATACATTTTCTATTAAATGGTTATTCAAAAAAAAAATTAACATTAAATTTTATTGACACGTCACCAAATAATTTTATTTATTATGCAAAGTCAGCTAAATCATTGTTTAAAAGGCGTAAATTTACATAAGATTTAGCGTGAGTTTTCGGATTGATCCTATCTATTTAGATGAGAAGTGATTCAACCTTGCTCCACTGTGCACGACCACCCAAAACAATTCCCCAAACCATCCTCGAATCAACACACAAAAATATCTTGTCAAACACACGTAGGGATCGATGCTAAACTTCAGTTTTCTTAATGACATTGTTGGTTGAGGACGACCTTACCACACCTTCGATGCTGTATTCTCTTCTTCCCAAACTTTTTATAGTGTTATCCTCTTAGTGGTTACCATAATTATGTTTTAGATTAAGAAATTATTTGCATCTCCAGTTTTCAGTCTCTTTTTCTCTATACTAGTTTATTGCCCGTGCAATGCACGGGCTATGTTATTTTTTAGGTAATATTAGCGTG